AGCCTTATAAAGCTTTGGTCGGTTGGAAGAAAGTGTTACGGATTTAGAGTCAAGAGATGCTGTTGCTTGAAATGCTGGTGTATGACGATATATTTCTGTCTGGCATCTGATGCCATTTCACAGCCAAATTATAAAGCCATATTTCTGTGTCAATAAGGAATCACACCACCTGTAGCTTAAAATCTCTCAAACAGATGTAATGATAAATTTAAGTATTCTGTCCCAAGATAAAGCAACCAGATGAAGCTACATTTCCCCCTAATTATTTCAGCAATCAACATAAAAATAATCTCCAAATACCTCAGTCTCTCACGTAAAATGGAAAGAATATTATTTGCCACATGATAGAGAAGGACGAAGTGACCTGAAATCCCTAGCAAAAAAAGCATTGTTGTATGCCAAGTATCTTTTTAAGAAAACTAACTCAAAGGACACTTGGGGATGCTATCATTAAGTTAATGGGAAGCAAGGCCGTTTACATATCCTTAGTTTCAATCTACAAGATGAACGAGCTTATGCCAAGAGTTCAGTAAATGTAGAAAAGTTTGCTTAAATACTAGTATGTTCACTGTTTCTTTTTAAAAAATAATGAGGCGGGGGGCGCCTGGGTGGCTCAGTCATTAAGCATCTGCCTTCGGCTCAGGTCATGATCCCGTTGTCCTGGGATCAAGTTCCACATGGGGCTCGCTGCTGAGCAGGAAGCCTGCTTTCCCTCTCCCACTCTTCCTGCTTGTGTCCCTGCTCTTGCTGTCTGTCAACAAAGTAAATAAAATCTTAAAAAAATAAAAATTTAAAAAAATGAGAGAGAAAAAAGGAATAATGAGAAGGTATTTCAAGAGCTATCCTTCCACATTAAATGACACAAGCACCTCAATATACTAGAACAAAGGGAGGGGTCACTGAATCTCATTATCTGAATTTTCTGATTGGTTAGGGCTTAAGCAGAAATGCCTTGTCCATGACATCTCTAAAATGTCTCTTACAATTTGTTGCTCTGTGCACAAAATACTGCCACTAATAATACATCTAACATTTATTGAACATCTGTTTTATAGCTGGTGCTGTCAAATGCTTTTTTACCCATTTATTCCTTACAAAGGCACTCTGCAGTCAGGACCCAAGATTCCCATTTTAACTGATGCAGAAACTGAGGCACAAAGAGATCAGGTTAATAGAAAGAATGCAATCCCAAATGACTAAAATGTTTTCATCGCTTCCTTAAAATCATACTGAACTTTAATGATGTTCTATTTCTCTAAGATGGCGAAGGTATAACACTGGGTAAAAATCTAGCTTCATCTTGGATCATGGTCTCAATTTTTTTTTAAAGATTTTATTTATTTATTTGACAGAGATTACAAGTAGGCAGAGAGGCAGGCAGAGAGAGAGGAAGGGAAGCAGGCTCCCTGCTGAGCAGAGAGCCCGATGCGGGACTCGATCCCAGGACTCTGGGATCATGACCTGAGCTGAAGGCAGGGGCTTAACCCACTGAGCCACCCAGGCGCCCTCAATTTTTAATACATTTCTGGCATGAGACTGCTTCACTGTCACTTATTTCCAAGGCTTAGAAGCAGACTGGGGAGGAGTGAAGCACAAATACCAGGTAATCCAGTGTCTGTTTAAATGCTTTCTTTTTTTGTTGTTAATTATTATTTTTTTAAGATTTTATTTATTTATTTGACAGAGAGAGGCATAGAGGGAAAGGGAACACAAGCAGGGGGAGTGGGAAAGGGAGAAGCAGGGTTCCCGCCAAGCAGAGAGCCCGATTCGGAGCTCAATCCCAGGAACTGGGATCATGACCTGAGCTGAAGGTAGCCACTTAACCAACTGAGCCCCTGTTTTAATGCTTTCTTAATAGAGAGAAGCTGTTCATGTTGTTGTACTTCTGGAGAAAACCAGGTCTTTGCAAATTAGTGACAGTGCTCTCATCACAGGCCAATTATTTCCCAGGATAATCTTAACAGGTTGAGCTGAGGGTCCGACCGCATTCCAAACTGCTTCAATGTCGCTTTATTTTATGTTATTTTTAAGATTTTTAAATTTTATTTATTTGAGAGAGAGAGAGAGAGTGAACAAACAAGAGAGAGCACACAAACAGAGGCAGAGGGAGAAGCAGACTCCCCAGCTGAGCAGGGAGCCCGATGTGGGACTCTATCCCAGGATCCTGGCATCAGAACCTGAGCCGAAGGCAGACACTTAACCGACTGAGCCACCCAGGTGTCCCTCAATGGTCCCCTAAATGAACACTCCTACCTTATACAAAGTTTATTCTTTCTTGTTTTAGGAATCTTACCTTTTCAGACACTTTGTAATGGCAAAAATGACCTCCAGTTCAAGGTACCTCCTTATTACTGACCATGGGAGTCAAAAGTCCTGATTGTTTTAAACAGCAGAAATGCTGGCTGAGAGCTGGTCAGTCATCTCGCTGCCCCTGGTATTTTAACAGCATTTTCTTATCATGGCTCACCATCGGCTTTTAGAGTCATCTCATTGTTTCTTTGGGTATAAACTCTCCTAACTATTTCTGAAAAATAAAGTCCACACTTTCCCATAGAAATGGCAATTAAAAACCACCGTGACAGGACCGACAGACAGACTTCAAGCATTTGTTTCACTGTCGTCAATGAAAACTGCTATAGAAAGCCAAGTGTCTAAGGTATTTGGAAACTCCAACAATAAAAGATCTCCATTAGTAAGTGGGTTTATTGACATAACTGAACATAACAATGTATAACATTTATTCATTTCCCACTGAAGACCTTCCAGTCAAACTGTTTTTACATAGATTTTACTGTTTTTCCATGAAGTACTTTCAGTGATGTTCTGAAGTTGAAAGGGTGAGTGGTAGGAAGCATCAGAGGTCTCTTCCAGACTTTCAGTGGGGCTCAAGATTATACTGCTGTGCAAAAGGACTAGCTCAAGGATGCCATTGCTCTACAAATGAATGAAACTAGGAGCACGAGAGGGGCAACTAAATAGCCCAAAATTTGCAAATAAGAGCAAGCAATGACCCCTCTCCCACAGACTCATATGCTAAGAATGACAGCCTGTTTCCTGCGGTTTATTAAGTTTTGGCCTCACAGAGAAGATGGCCAGAGAAGCAGCTGCACTTTAAGTGGTCTGGACATTTATTCATCTGAACATAAACACAGATCTGTTCATTTAGAGCCCTGGGTCCCCCGTTCAGCTGTTGGGACAAGGGCAGGCTTGGCTCCATGGAGGCCAAACATAAAAGGGAGTGCACTGGGGTTGAAGGACCCCCGTCTCCCAGACTATGATAGATTCCCTGAGTCATCAGGACCCTCAGGGGCTTAAGGCCCTAAACAGAAGATTCCTGGTTAGCCTTAGCACCATAGCAATATCCTCTGAAACAGCCCACTGCCAATAAATCCACAACCACGGCGGAGATCACCGCGCAGATCTTCCTCGAGGCTCTTCCTGTGCTCTTAGACCACACACAAAATTATTAATGTAAACCAAAGCACTACCTTTAGTGATAAACATGTACTTCATAAATATGAGGGAACGAGAGGGTCCCAAAGAGCTGAAAACAACTAAGCAAATAAAGGAGCCTAATCCTAAATTTAAAACAAAGACATTTAAAACAAAATACTGCAATTATTAACTAAAAGGTAAGATTTAATAACATGGTAAAACACAGGGTTGTGGAGAGATTAACTTGCAAAATAGATCATTATTTCACAGTGAGGTCTAAGTACTCCTAAAAATCTTCTGGTTTTAGTAGAAACAGACAACTACTGATGTACCCTTTTTCACATTTTTTCCCCAATAATTTCTTCCCCTCTATTTCATATAGAGTAAGACATTAAGGTGACTGAGGGTTACACTGTCAAGTGCGTATCACCTTTTGCTGCCCTATTAGGGAACTGCCTTGAACACTTAACCGTGCAACTCAGTAGAAGCAGGGCACAGTCTCCTGCATGTGACCGATAAAAACATGAGAAGTACCACACCATATTTGTTCCCATCTGGACACAGTGTCAGAGATGCAGTTAAGTGAACTTGAGGGCTGCGGTTCCCTACGCGGCTATCGGTTATGCACACTTTACATTCTTTTCCCAAGTCTGGCACTGACATTTCCTTTTCCATATATAGGTTTAGAAAAATAAAATTAAAAAGCCACAGGAGCAACCCTGACAGAGAAGTCTTGCATGCAGCCTTCTCCTGAGAAAGTAGGTAATCTTAGTTAACCCCAAGGTCGGCCAATGTTCTTGGCGTGTTAATGTTAAGAAGAAAATACTAGTTGAACGGCTCAGCTCAACTAAGACAGTCCTTGAGTTTACTGTCAATTTGTTAAATGTCTGAGCTCTTCACATTGTTGAAAAAAAAAATAGCATCTCTAATGATTTAAACATTAAATTATCCTGAATGTTCTATTAACCAACATGAAAGAGTTCCTTGGCGGGTGTGTTAAACTTCGCCACCAGTTTACAACATCTACCTTCTTGGCAGAGACCACCAGCCCAGTGTAGTCAAGATGCCAAGCCTCCTTTGTAATACTAAGAAGTTCCTCTTCCCTTAAATAGGACAAAACTCCTCTGTTTCACACTGAGCAAACAAAAAGCATGCACACAAATCTCTTTCTGGCCATACCGGGGGCAAAAGCCCCCTTCTCTACCCCAAAGGGGGCCAGACTGTTGCATCACGATCCCACAGAAGCCATATCCATAGTTGTGCCAAGGTCTCCATATAAAAGAAGACTTCCCACCTCTGGACACTACCTCCCGTTTGTCCCCTGCTCTTTGCCTTGACCACCATGTGCCACCCATTCGCTTCACGAGGGGGCACTGGGAATTGTCGGGGGTGTGTGTGGGCCGAACTGGTTTCGCCTTTGGCCTCTCTGGCAAGTGCACAAAAGGGGGAAAGGAGAAGCTCTGATAAAATGATATCTCCCCCTGAGGTGGGTTGAGGGGCTCCACAGAAAGTGGCTGGCTGCTCCAGGCCAATGAGATGGTCTCCACACCCCCTGGAGTCTGGCTCTAGTCAGCAAATCGCTGCAGAAGATGGTCCTCCCGCCTCAAGCTACCCCCTGTGCCGCCGCCCCCGCTGTCCATGAAGCGGTCGCAGGGGAACTCGATGAGGTCCGCCTCGCTGAGAGCACACACAGTGGTGCGCGGCCGGTGCGACTGGAAGCCAGAGAAGTCCGCAGACACGCCGGTGCCCATGGAGCGCAGGGGACGTCGGGTGGAGTACATGTGTCGAACGTGCACAGGGGCCCCACCCTTCCGCCGAGCCCGCAGCTTCCTCCGCAGCCAGCGGGACGCCCAGGCCGCCAGTGCCAGGAGCACCAGCAGCGCGTTGACGGCCAGCAAGACCAAGGTCAGCAGCTGGTAGTCAACACTGCTCCGGCTCCCAGGCTCCGGGAGGGTGACCAGCCCGGCGCAGTGGTCACGGGGGGCCACCGGGCAGACCCGGCCCCCGAGGACGCCCTCCACGCACACCAGGTAGGGGGTGTCTCCGCGCAGCTCGCGCAGCGTGGCCGAGTCGCTGCGCTCTGGCAGGTAGACGAAGCGGTGGAACTTGGGCTGCTGGCCAAAGCGGTCGAAGAGCAGGCGGAAGCGCGCGCCGCCCAGCAGTGGTGGGCTGCGGTGCTGGCGCACAGCCCAGCGCACCGAGGCGCTGTCGGCGCCCACCGCCTCCACGGTCAGGTTGCACAGGATGAACTTGTTGAAGTCGCAAGGGTCGGACACCAGCGGCGGCAGGCCGACTCCGCCGTCGGATTGGGCGGTACTTTCCTGCTGCTGCGCGGCCAGGCGCTGCTTCGCCGCGCGCTGCCAGGGGTCGCCCGCGGGCGGTGGCGCAGAGGCGGGCGCGGCCGTCGGGGTGGGCTTCGCGTGGGCCGCATCTGCCGGAGTCAGAGGTTCCCGCTCGGGTTTCTGGAGCAGGTCCAAGGGGTGTGGCGCAGGGCCCGCGGCAGCCGCAGCGGAGGGGTCCGGCTGCTGGAGGCCAGGGCCCCGTCGGCTCAGCTTCAGAGCGCTGCGGTTGCCCAAGAGCTCTCTGGCGGCCCCATCCCAGGCCACTCCAGGCAGAAATCGCCCGCGAGGCTGTGGCTGCGACTGCGGCTGCGGCGGCAGCTCCTCCGAGAGGTTACCTGCAGGGGGCGCCACCTCCTCCCCAGTGGCGGTGGGTAAGGGCGCCCGCGGGCCTTCGGCGGTCGGGGAAACTGAGGGCGAGAGATCTGCACAAGATCCGTTCTGCAGCTGCTGGTCATCCAGGTAATCCAGGTACTTGCCCCGCAGGGTCGGCGGGTGGCGACACTGCACGAACACGGTGAGAAGACGGCCTTGCGAGTGCCAGTCGCCCATCCAGCGCTTTAGGCCCCGCAGACGGCAGTCGCAGGTCCAGCCATTGCCGTCTAGATCCAGCCGGTAGAGGGCCGGGCTGGCGGCGAAGATGTCCCCGGAGAGGGCGCTGAGCTCGTTGTCGCGCAGGCTGAGCTCGCGCAGCCGGCCCAGGTGGCCAAAGATAGTGGGGTGCAGAGCGGACAGCGCGTTCCCGCTAAGGTCCAGCGCCTCCAGGCTGTGCAGAGGCTGCAGCAGCGCTACGGGCAGTTGGCTCAGCCGATTCCCCTCCAGGCGCAGCTCGCGCAGGGCCTCCAACCCCCAAAAGGCCTCCGGCGCGAGGTGTGTGAGTTGGTTGCCCCTGAGTGAGAGTAGGCCGAGACGCGGCAGGTGCTGGAAGACACGCGGCCCGAGGTGCTGGAGGCTGTTGGCCGAGAGGATGAGCGTGGAGAGGGAGCGCAGCGGTGCGAAGGTGGCTGCGTGGCGCAGGGAGGGCTGCAGCTCGTTGGCAGAGAGGTTGAGGAAGCGCAGTTTGTCCAACTGGGCAAACGCGTTCTTGCCCAGAAAGCGGATCCGGTTGGACTCCAGATGTAGGTAGAGCAAGTTGCCCAAGGGGGCGAAGACCGCGTCCGGCAGCGCACCCAGGGCGTTCCCGTCCAGCCGCAGCTTGACCAGACTCTCCAGGCCCTCAAAGGAGCCGCGGCTCAGGCGCCCGATCTCGTTTCCATTGGCATAGAGGATGCGCAGCTTGCGCAGCGGGGCCAGCGTGCCCGGGACAAGCGCCTGCAGGAGGTTGTTCCCCAGGTAGAGTTCCTCCAGCCGGGAGAGCTTCTCAAAGGTCTTGGGGTGCAGAGAGCGGATCTGGTTGTACTGCAGGTCCAGCCGTCTGAGCTGGCCCAGACGGTGGAAGTCGAAGGCCGTGATGTTGGTTATGAAGTTGCCGCCGAGGCTGTAGGTGAGCACGTCCTGGGGGCTCGGCAGCGAGCTGGTCTTGGGCACGGCGCGGAGCCCCCTATTGGTGCACAGGAGGTGCTGGGGGTGCTGGCAGTCGCAGCGCTCCGGGCACACCGGCTGGGCCCGCGGCGGGAGCGCGAGGCAGCCGCACACCACGAGTAGGAAGCGCACGGCGCGGGCAGCCTCCATCGCCGCCCGCCCTGCGTGCTGCGGCCGGATCGTCCTCTTGGCCCGCCTGCTCTGTGTCTCCTCTGCATTCCCCTTGGCCTGGCCAGAGTCGCTAAATGGCCTCTTTCGGACTCCGCGGCGCGGTCCAGCCCCTCCTCCGCCCTTTGTCCGGTGGCTGGCCCGGGTCTCTGCAGGCGGGCTTCGCCCGGCCAAGTCAGGCGACTCAGGGCGCTCCGGGAGCTCCGGGAGCTCCGGGTGCTACTTGTTGCATTTCTGCGCAAAACTGTTTCTCCGGGTGTGCGTCGGGGGGCGGAGGGAGCGAGCCAGACCTGAGCTTTTTGTTTGCAGCTTGAGTCCGGAGAGCTGGATTCCCTGGCACGGATTCTCCCCGCCGAGCGGATTCCCCAGCTGCAGGCGGGAGCCCTTCCAAGAGCTCCTCGGGGAGCGGCTTGGCTGCTGCGCCCCGGGTGCTCGGTCCCGGCAGCCCGCGTCTCCTTCCTCTGGGTCCCGCACCAGGAGCGCGGCCTCCGTGGAACAGCCGGAGGAGGAGCCGGGGGTGCGCCGGCTGTGTCCGGAAGGGACCCAAGTCGGCGAGTGGCGGGCAAACCCGGCGGAAATTCGTTCTTCCCACACTCTGCCCCCCAGGGATGCAGGCGGAGAAAGAGGAGACGGCGGAGGGAGGACAGACCCCGACTGGGGGAGGAGGAAACGCTAAGTGGCTCCGCGTCTGGTCAGCCCGAGCCCGGGACGCCGAGTGAGAAAAGTAGGGATTAAAAACAGCTGTACAGGCCGGCCCTCGACGCAGGGCTGGGGGCGGGGGTGGATTACCGTGCTAGCAAACGGAATTTGCAGACAGAGACCTTTTTATTTTAGATGAGTACACCAGGCATTTCGGAGCATTGGGAGCGCGGCTCCTCTTTTTCGTTTTTAAGTCTCTTGCTCTTCCAAGTGTCACCCCGCGCGGGCAGTTGACGAAGCACGGAGTGCGCGAACATTCCGGAAGAAGTTTAGTTAGGGCAGCCCAAGGTTGTCTCCAAAGAGCTATTGGTGGACTGCCGTCAGAGGAGGCCAGGTCAGCCCCTCCGGAGTGTGGTGTGTTTGGGTGTTTGACCTGGCTGTACAGGTGGCCGAGGGGAGGCATCGTCCCACGTAGGGATCAGAACTGAGCACTCGCTTGGCCCCGCCTGTAGATAAGAGCCTGGAGAAGCTCAGAACGGGTTCTACCACCGCGAAGGTGGCTCTGTCAGATTTTGGTGATTTAGTCCCGTTAGTCCTCCTCCTGTCTTAGAGCCGTTGGGGTAGGGTCTGTACTTGTGCGCAGATTTAAAATCACCTCCCCAGACCCTGGTAACTTCACCTGCGGGTCTCACCGGCTTGATGCCTGGGCTTGCAGGGATCTTCAAAGTCCTGAGGCGCAGAAGTCCTCAGGCCTGGCTCAGTGGGGGAGTCTCACCACTTATCAATATAGAATGGAACCTGTGTCCTTGGTGCCTTTGAAGGCAGCACCCGCTGAGAATGAGGATGGGCAAGGAGTAGCAGTTTTATATCATTTGTTCATGCAAACAGTCTTGGTAAAAATAAAGGCCCCTTCCACACACCCCCACCCAAAATGTTCAGAAAATGTAATTTTAAGGGTCCACTCTGTGAAAAATTAAGGGAGACGTATCTTCACCTCTCCAGAGGTTGACTGTCTAGTGGGGAGGGCAAGTCATGGAAAGGTTAGGTCATCATCTAAGGCAGTAGTAGGAGACAGCTGCGCAGATACAAAGTGAGTTTTAGTAATTCCAGTGTTGGGCAGTGACTGAGTGCCTCACTGAGCCATCTGTGTAGGCAGATGATAGGGACGAGTTGGAAATTTCAGGAAAGAGGAGATCCTTGGCTGCATGGTCAAGAAAGACTTACTTACGGGAGAACAGGTCCTGGGTTCCAGGGACACAGGCAGTGGAGTGCTGATGACAATCATCAGTGCAATGCCTACTCCAGGCACAGGGAGCAGACCCAGGCTGGCTTGTGATGTGCTTTGAGTTTTCAAATACAGGATGAATGTGGGAAAACAAGTATCTGTCTCAACAAGGTAAAAGGTAGTTTGGTTTTTTATTCTCATGGTGAGAAACTCCTGAAACCTTTTTAGTTCTTGACTGCAGTCCTCCTTGTGAAGGTATGGCTTTCCTAGAGCGTGAAATCCAGGCTTGCACAGTGTGGCATAAGCTGGTCTGACCCGGGCCCTGGAGCCTGTTAGGAGGACTTTCAGGTTTTTTGGAGAAAAGAAGGCTAAGAAGCTATTGGCTATTGAACCATTAGATCTACCTGGGATGGAGCTGTGGCAGCATCGGCTTTGAGCTCATGGTGTGAGGACACGCACACAGCCATCAGAGCAGAGAAGAGGCTGGAAGCTAGGTGAGGTGTAAGTGGGAGAAAGAGGGAAAAGCAGAGATTGGACCTCCTCCCTGAGTTTGCAGAGCGGGGAGCACAGGCCGCATTCCATCAGAGGACCTCTATAGTTTGCGTGGATCGCTCACTGCACTTGGAGTATCTTTGCTTTATAGGTGCCTCTAAGTAAAATTTACAAAGTCATCAGACCCCTGCAGATGTTCAGTATTTTTCAATGTTTTGACGGTCTTTGGTATTATTGCCCGGTGTTTAACATTTCTACCAGTAGTGCTGGCTTGCAGGTAGAAATAACATCATATGTGGTTTAGGTCAAAAGACGATTGCTTTTCCATAACATTCCATTTTCTTGAAGTAATCCGTCTGCCACATGTAGTTAACCTTGCTTAAAATAGAGACAGTGTGCCATACTTCAAATAAGTATAAAGAGCTTTCGTAGGTGTTGTTGGGATTCTCAATCCAGTGTCAGTGAGATTGAGACTGAGATGGACAGATGAAGTGGAAACACATATGGGTGTGTGCATGCAGATAAATTCTTTCTGAAATAGTGTGATCATGGTCTTTTAAACAAACGCTTCCCTTCTTAACGCCATGGAACTTGAGGTCCACTTTAAAATGAATGACATTTAAATCCTTCAGAGGACACTAATGCGTACTCCTGTGTGCCCCCAGCGGTCTCCACTTCTGTAATGCTACACATTCTGGTGTTTTATTTTCAGACCATCTCTCTCTTCCAGGAGCTAAATGGTATTTTGCTTGAATCCAGCAGTACCTGGAGCCCCCAGTACTGCTATCACAGCAACTCCAAAGCTACATTGCTTTGAATGCTAGTGGTCCGGCCCGTAGTATTTAATGAGAATCTAGCAAGTGACAAATCCCAGGATGAGCGGTGGGAATGCAGTGGCTGATAGGATTCAGTGCCAGGCTCCAGGATGCAACAGCTTGGTGGGGAGGCTGATGGGCAAGGAGGGCATCACCAGGGGATAAGCGCTGAGGAGTAGAGCTGTGGGAGCCCTAAAGAGGGCCCCTGGCCTGGACTGAGAGCTCCAGGAAGGTTTTCAGAGGAGGGAAGTGCTAGAAGCCTGCCAACAGGTGCAAGAGGGTCCTTTAGGCACCTCCAGATCTTCTGTCTTGGTTGATGAGGTATATATTTTTAAAAGAGTTTATTTATTTATTTGACAGAGATCACAAGTAGGCAGAGAGGCAGGCGGGGGAGGGGGGAGCAGACAGCCCGATGTGGGGTTCGATCCCAGGACCCTGGGACCATGACCTGAGCCAAAGGCAGAGGCTTTGACCCACTGAGCCACCCAGGCGCCCCGGTTGATGAGATATTGTGGCATTTGTATTTTTCAACAGTATTACACAGCCTTGCTTGTACGGTAACTTCCAAATACATACTCCCTTCTTCCCCTTGAAGGATTTCTGCAGGCAGATGACATCATCGTATTTGCACCGCAACGTCAAAAGTTGTCTCTGCCAAATAAAGTTGGTGCTATACAAAGAAAATGTTATCTATCTAGTTCTCATCTCTAGAACCTGGCTGCCACAGTGGTTTGCGGGAAATATGTGTTGACAGAACCTCCACACCCAGGTATTCACTTACTGAAGATATCCACGGGCACTGTGTGGATACCAGTACAGAACATCGCTCCTGGACTATGGCTGCCTGGGTCCCCCTACCCTGGACCTGGCACTCGAGAGGGCTTTGTTCCAGTCCTCTTCTGGTTGTGTCCCTCTCCAGAAGAGCACGGTTTCAGGCTTCCAAAGGGATGGGCCCACACACAGCCCATAGCCCCACTCCTGCTCAAGGCTCCTAGGACCTTGGAATTTCCTACTCAACTGCCTAATCGGTGAAGGCTTTTATCCACCTGTCCTCTTGGGGGCTGACTATGCCACAAGCGTGTATATGCCCAGGGCCAAGGAAGGCCACAAGGCAGCTGTGCAAAAAGAATCTGGAGGTGTGAGTTGTGATTTCCTGTGGTATGCCCGGGGCTGGGGGTGGGGGAGTACTTCAGGGGGGACATGGAGAATCTGCCCATCTACTGGGAGCTGATAGGAGGGGCTAGGGACCACGGATCTTCTCTCACACTCTAACCCTGGGCTCCTCAAATGTTAGAGACAGGCCTGTCCGTGTGTAGCATTTTAGGAGGAAAAAGTACATATACTTGGATTTAGAAAGAAAAAGGAGAAACATTACAGGAGTGTGAAGGAAGGAGTTTTTGAAAGTGTAAGTTCTACTTTATTATAACATAGCCTATACCAAATTTTCAATAAAAAGCAATAATTTTTAGTAAAAGCACAGACCTTGTTTCTCCTAAATTTAAATGCCTGTCTCTCAACTATGTAATGTCTTTGTTTATGGACGGATCCAGGTTTGATCATGTTCCAGGAGATTCAAGTATTGATTATGCCTAAATGCATAATTTGGATAATCGCACATGGAGATCCAGAAGGGAATGCTGTTCGTGAGAGAACCAAGAGCTTTTTCGTTCAATTTTGGAAAGCTTGCTCTTTAAATCTCAAGCGCACTGGGGGATGGTTGCAAAGGTCAGAAGCAGAAGCAAGTTTGAGCTGGTTCCATGACACATATATATGGTGTAAGGGCCCTAGGATGTTCTTGCCCAGGCCTGGAATCTTCTTGGGCTTGCCAGGGAGGTACACTGCTTTCTTCCCAAGCAACCTGTGGTTCCCTTGAACTTGAACTGCAGAGACAAGGAGGATTCCAGGCCATGTCTTCAGTAGCTCCTGGGCCTGGTTGGAGTTGGCTGCTCTTGGCAGGAAGGGTTAGGGGGAGGA